AATTTCATTGGTTAGGGGCGCATTACATTTAATATTTCGCAAAATAGCCCAGAATTTCACAGAATCTTGATTTGCTTCTAAAAGTTTGTATTTTTGTTTGTCTATAGATAACCGTTTCTTATTTCTACATATTGCGAAATATACTGTAGTATGATAACATACACTATAACACAGACTCCGTAATTCAAACACAATTAATCTTTTGAATGCCAAATTTTTATCTCACTCAAAATAGGGTAAAAGTTTGTTCCCATATTCTGTAATTTACACTGAATTCAATCTTTATTTTGGACTGAACAAAACAAATGTGACACTGCTTCTAGTTTTTGATCAAAAATTGTTTGTCAACATTTTCTGAGGAAAAGAGCTGACTATAAATGGAACTATTTTTATAGTCATTGGGTTAATAAACAGACATGTATCACTTTCAGTAAAAGCCTACCTGAATATTGAAAGAAGAAAAGGCTGATAACCTGAGCTTAAAAAACGTTAAAAGGCAGTAAAATAGTATTGCAATATAAAAGCACACAAAAAACAATTATTATAAATTATATATGTATATATATTAAATATTTGTACAATTCTTGGATTCCAAATATGCTGCATTTTGGCTTCAAATATTTCTAGAAAATAAAATTATGTGATCTCATCATCTTTGATTTGATTCAAATAAAAAAACTCTGTTTCCAAATCAATTTCTTTACTTATTTTCTGTCCTTGTGCGACGCTGTCATATTTGTCTAAAAGTACTATGTCCGTTTCGTCCAAGAGTGGTGGTAAATCATCAAAACTTTCTTCACAACTTTCTCCACCACTGCCAATACCGTCATCAGTATCCAAGGGAAGATGGATTTCCTCGTCCCCTATCTGCCACTTGACACGATGTGTTTTTTTAAGTCCCACTTCGATTTGAAAATTAACATTCTTCATATCACTTTGTGAATCACTGTTGTTATTCAAGTTCCTTTGACTTTCAGTGATAGCAAGCTGACAACTGAATCTGAAATGAACAAGAAAGAAGACAACAGTTTATATTTGGATATGCTTTGCTATGGTCATATGCTAGAGAAAACTTGGCATTTAAATAAATAAAAATAAATAAAAATCTAAAAATAGCTTAGAGCTAGTCAGATACCAATAAATTTATTGTTCCTTGTATTTATTTGAATTGACTTGATCACCCAAACATGATCTGTGATATTAAGTTTCTTATTAAATAATAATCATGTGTTATGGAGAGATTGATAAATTGTACAAACAAAAATATATCACCTTGCACTGTAACTATGACGACCATCTTCTATGTGTTGTACAACATATTTGGCAATCTGCCACATGAAATAAAGGAAAGCTTGGAGGTCGGTTGGTAAATGAGGTATCCAATCAATAAACCTGAATAACAAGTGAGATATTAAATGGTAAGAAAACAACCAATCAAAAAACGTGTAACGAGATAAACACTTGCAGTTATAAACTACTAATCAAAGAGCTTGTTACAAAATAATGACAAGCCATACATAGGATAAATATGAATAAAAATGTACATGGCTATCAATATAAGGAAGTAATCAGAGTCTGTTTAGAGACAGTATTTTACTCTATAGTAGATCAAACATGTTGTTTGGTAAGATAGTAACAATGGCTTACCTGGTCACTATACTATAAGCACTTTGTATTGGCAGCAAACATGGCAGCGTTGCTATGGAGACTAATGATTTTATGTAACTACTATTCACAGATTCACTAGCGTGATGTAAAGCTGTTTAAAAAGAAGAAATATGAGGTAAATTAGCTAAAAGAAATATCTGGGATAAGATTATGTGAAATATTAGGGGGAAGATTGCGGGAAATATCGGGGAAAGATTAAAAAAAAAAATATATTGGGGGTGTGATAACGAGAAATATTGAGGGTGAGACTAGGGGGAATATTGAGAGTAAGATTATATTATGACTTTATATTATTCAAACTTTACAATCATTCCTACAAGATACTTTTTGTGTACCAGGATCCTGACAGCAATGTATTGTGTAAACATAATTTTATCTCTATTGCTCTCTCAAAATATACAATGGAAAAATAGCACTAGATTAATATCTCATAATAAAGTCACTGAAAACACATCATTTCCATTACATGCTGACTATATTTTTGGATAAAGGGTACAGTAAGTTTATTACGATTAGGGAAATTAGAAAGATCATCAATAAAAATTAAGTGATATAATTGCTCATTTAAGATTTTAGAAAGATGCACTTTTATAAAATGTCTTCATAAGTGTAGTTAATTTCAGTGCAAATGTACAGAGAAGTACACAATGCTATTACATTGCAAAACCAATGAATGTGCTTGTTCCTATTGTTGTTAGTTTTGAGAAAGGGACATACATACAAGTGTTTCAACAGACCTACCTGCTAAGACTGGTTGTGGTAAATTATCAATCAAGGCAAATTCTTGTTTTTTGTCATTACAATCACTACAATGTTCCATTTCTTCTATTAAATAGTCTTCTTCGTCATCTTCCAATATTACAGAGTCAGTGCCGTCTTCACATAACATCATTGAACTCATATTCACTTCACTGATGGAACGAAGACTAAGATGACGGGTACAGCTAACTAAACCTGTAAATGTAAAACACAAAATGTAGGATGTAGTTTGTCTTATTATAAACATACAGATATAATTTATGCATTTATCCAATATTTTAAAGGGGGATGGTAGTCGCGTCATGCATGAGCAAGATATGGGACTCATATGATTGACCAACGAGCACAAACTGAGACGTTACCAACTAGATAATTTCTATGGTGGTTGCAAGGTATTACAGCAAGTCTCAGAAGTATTGGGGCAGCCAATTTGCAAACTCGCTAGCGAATTGGCTAAATGTTTGGGTTTTGACTAAACAGTTGGCTTTCGAACCTCGCTGGCGCCAACTCGTGGTCGCGTCCACTCCGGGAGAGTCTATTTTTCATTAGGGAACATAGTATGCTTTTACGTAGCCTGGTACATGTCTGGATTCCCCTGAATGATTGCTTTGCAAGGCGGGGTAATGTGAAAGTAGATTCCCATGTCAGCCTGAGAATGGCCAGAGTCAGCTGGCGTACAAGTGATAATATGATAAATGCGATTAATCCACCGATATTTACTATATGGGGGTAGCCATCTTGAACACTGATTGAAACTAAATAAAGAAACAAGTTTAGAAAGTTTCCTATAAATCAGGGAGAAAATAAATTTTCACATCCAAACGAATCGTTGGGGTAACATTAAACCACAGTCCTTCTATATAAACCAACCGCTTATAAAATTCCTTGTATATGAACACCATAAAGAAAATAGAACACTTTCCCTGGTATATTTGAAAGCGAAATCGCCATCCAACTAAAGTATGACGACTGTCCCCTACTGTTATATAGATTCACCCAGAGTGGGCGTGACCACCGGACGGTGCCAGGAGATTCAAAAGCCAACTGTTTAGTCAAAACCCAAGCGGGTTTGCAAATTGGCTGCCCCAATACTTCTGAGACATGCTGTAAAAGAGTCATCAACTGTGTATGTCTCACTGAGGTCAAAACTCAAACTTGTGATTCCCATTAGAAGAAAGCAATGAATTGTGGGAAACTCAATGTTTATCATAAAAAAATGTCACACACGTGTGGCACGACAACCACCGCCCTTCAAGCTGATACATAATTTTACTTGACTTCTAAAAATTCCACTTTTCTACACACATAAAATGTAATTTTTCTGATTTCTCTAAACCAATCAGTTGTCATGAAAATTGAGTCTCTAATTAATATCATGTACATGTATATTGAGACAGATAGATATGATTGGATCTTTTGATATCATGGGACAAACATACATCCCATCACACTAATCCTTGCCTCTAACTGAATAGTGAAGCTGAGATAGGAGAACTGACAATATTTGTTTTTCAAAATGGCAGATTGTCAACATACCATCTTTCCACCATAATAATTACTATACTGCACAATCAAGGTATTTATGCACATGTACAACCTTTCATGCTTGTTTCACATGAATGAAAACAATACGCATATATAAACTATTCAGGATTTACAGCACCAGATGTTGCAATACCTTGACAACAGCTGTCAATCACTGTCATTGTAAAACAATGTGTTTTTTGATGACATGTCTAATATTCACATAGCTCAGTTTACGAGGACTGTCTACGTATAAAAAATTATAATACAGATAGACTTGGGGGTAGATTACAACAGTGCAGGTCAAGGGTAAAACTGAATTAGTAAATTAATTAATTAATTAGGAAAGGTGAGATATTTCATGGATGGCAATATTATTGGTGAAGCCAAAAAAAATGACGAAAGTGATATAAACTCGGGTAGACTTTGCCCTTTGTTGTTATGCTTTGCATGTGATTAATCAGGTTGAACTAATGAACAAGTACCCGGTAAGGGACGACGTCAAAAGATCGATGTCGGATAAAAAACTTATTTCCTTTAGTTTGGGGGTGGGGGGTTTTGACCTCAAAAAGTTTCCATCCTACAAAAACGATTTTATTTTTTAATGAAGTCAAAAAAATCTTGGAGTATTTGTAGTTCTATCCAATCATGGATAAAAATAACCGAAAAGGAAAAAAAAACACAGAAAAATGGTTTGGTTCGAGTGTAAATCTGTGCGTCAAATGAGGTGCATTTGTAAACTCTTTTTACACCGACAACCAACTGCTATGCAATACTACTGTTGGCGATCCGCTCCGCTAGGATTGCCCTTATAATCACTTTTGTCGTTTTGTGTGTGTGTGTCTGTGTCTGTGTGTGTACATTTCCAGTGTTCCAGTGTTCACGTATTATTTCTTCTGTGATTTTTTTGGCTTGGCCGATTTCGTTCAAACTTGGCAGGTAGGTCACACCTTAACCCTAGTTATAAGGAAAAATCTGAAAAAATGTTTTGCCCCACCGTTGCCATAGCAACAGCCAAAAAACTGATTTTTGGATAGCTTCGCGCCAAATGTATCTCCTCCTACAAATTTGGGATAAAACACTTCAAACATAGCTCATTCTACTCAGCTTGAGTGTGGGCACAAAGTTACCA